CAGAGGCAATATATTCTTCTCAAACAACAAATCAAGAGATGTAGTAACTACTGCTACAGGCCAGTATTTTTAGTATCACTTAAAATAAATACAAATACGCATAGGAAAAACAGCTCAAGAAAAGCAGTGCAAAAGGCCTGTGCACCTTTACCTCCAAAAACTGTCATATAGCTATTGTGGAGTTAAACTTGCTTTTGGTTAAACTAGCAGAAGCAAATTTATATTTCTACTGAATTATCAAACATTATTAACTATAATTTATAAATCTCTGTCTAGGAAAAAATCTCCATACATGAAGACAACTGGTAAGAAACGATGGTGTTTTCTTAATTAACAACCTTCTTTGCTTCTAACTTTGACTAGATTTTACACAGCCCTAACTTTGGGGGACTTCCTGTGACTGTAAAACAAAACACTATTAGTAATCCTTAAATGAAATTCCATTATATGAATGATCAGAGAGCAACAACAAAGAAAAAGCCTTCAAAATATTCTCTTGTAAACTGAAGAAAAATAACCTAAACTGTACTTTTCACCTTTGTATGCTTGTTTCAGTATCATTAAAATGACAGATTTTGTACTGACAGGAAGGCTGCTATTCCTACATACAGCCGTAGTTCCAATGTTTTTGTTTAATTTCAACCAACTTGTCCAAGTAGGCCATTTGGTAGAAACCTATAAATGGCACCCAGGGGGTCTGGGTTCTTGCTGTAAAGAGGTCAGCTATTTCCTCCTAACTAAAAATAGTCAAGATGAGGGAGGGGAAGAGGGAGTGGAGTTTTAATTTAGCAGCTGAAAAAAGAGTTTACAAAATTACTTCCATCTTGCCTCATAATGAAGATTATAAAAAAAAAGAAGTTGTCCCAAGAGTTACAAAACCTGGATCACTTTATAGGCAGGCTGGTGTACGTAATCTAAAATACTAGGAATTAAAAGAGCAGTTGTAAAGGGAATCCAGGATATAGATCACGTTATGACGCCCACCCCTCTTCAGACAGAGCAGACAGATTTACCAGCAGCAGTGCTGCCAGGTGTTAACAACTCTCCTCTCTCCTACCAGCTGAGATCACACCGTGGTCCTGCAGATAAAGCACTACAATCAGCTGCCGTTCCCGTTCCCCTGAGTCAGTTTTTTTCCAGCATTTACCCTCCTGGCTTTTTGTTTCCCTCACTTACATTACAACCTGTTTAGGGTGAAAACCACCGTCTACAATGTTCCCCAAATGGCCCTGATTTGAATGGGGGCCCCTTGGCACTACTAAAATACAAACAGAATCAGTTTAATACAAGATGAATTCTAACTCTGGACTCCTAGCAGCAGCAAAGAGCAAGGGCTAGCGGCACCAAAGCGCGCACTGACCCCGCCACCTGCGGCAATCACCCAGCAACCTCAGCCTAAAACTGGGATGGCTTTTCCAGCCTCATTCCTGCAATGAACCAAACTGAGCACACCGCTCAATCCACTGCTGACTTATCTTAGCTACTGAGAAATAAGATCCCATCCACACTGAAAGACATTCTTCTCTACTCCTTGCAAGCAAAGGGATGACAGGCCTTCAACAGCTGCTGCTGCCAGAGGACGACTCTCCATTCAGGAAGCTCTTCCAGGAGCCATGGCACATCAGACATACCAAGCAGACAGCACGTCTACTTCTGGTCCCTGTCATCACAAAAACGAGAAAAGCCCATCTGACAATCAGTGACAAGACCACAACAGCATGAAACTGAATGAGGGGAGGTTTAGGTTAGATACCAGGCAAAGGTTTTTCACTCCGAGAGTGGCTGGACACTGGAACAGGTTGCCCAGGGAAGAGATCACAGCACCAAGTCTGATAAGAGTTCAAAATATGGTGGGATTCTTGGGGCTGTCCTGCACACGATCAGGAGTTGGACTCAGTCCCTTCTAACTCAGCATATTCTATGATTTGGTGAAAACTGGGCAAACTGGTGGAGCAGAAATCTGACAATTCCAGGTGCCCCTTCCCTAGCAATGATTTAACTTATTTTTGCTTTTTTAGATAATTATTGTGGAGAATATCTGCAATCATTAAAAAAAATAAGCAGTAGCGTAACTCACAGCAGTGACATAGCAGAGAACAGTGGGGTCATCTTACTCAGTTGGGTGGGGGAAGATGTATTCAGATGCCAACTCATCTCCTGAGGGCTTTTTTATGTCCTAAGAAACCTGGACAGTTGTGCAGTTGCCAGTCTTCACATATATGTGTAATTTTTAATCCTCTTTGCTTCTGAGACACGATTTTTCATCTCAGGGGGAGAAAAATATAGCCTTAAAATTATAGAATATACTGAGTTGGAAGAGGCCCACAAGGATCACCAAGTCCAACTCCTGTCCCTGCACAGGACATCCCAAGTATTGCACCACGTGCCCAAGAGCATCGTCCAAATGCTTCTTGAATCCTGTCAGGCTTGGTGCTGTGATCTCTTCCCTGGGGAGCCTGCTCCAGTGCCCAACCAGCCTCTGAGTGGAGAGCCTTTTCTTAACATCCAACCTAAACTTGCCCACACACAGCTGCAGGCCATCTCCTCAGGTCCAGTCACTCAGAGAAGAGTGTCTGCCCTTCTGCTTCCCCTGGTGAGGAAGCTGTAGACTGCAATAAGGTCTCCACTTAGTCTCCTAAAAATGAACAAGCCAAGGGACTTCAGCCACTCCTCATACAGCTTCCTCTCAAGGCCATTCACACCTCCACGATCCTCCTTTGGAGACTCTCCAACAGCTGAATGTCTTCTATCTATTGTATACCCAAAACTGCCTCCTGCACTGGAGGTGAGGCAGCCCCAGTGCAGAGCAGAGCAGGACAATCCCCTCCCTTGCCCAGCTGGCCGTGCTGTGCCTGATGCCCCCAGGGCAGGGTTGTCCCTCCTGGCTGCCAGGGCACTGCTGGCTCATCGATCAGCGCCCCCAGGTCCCTTTCCTGGCACTGCTCTCCAGCCTCTCCTTCCCAAGTCTGTACATCCAGGGTTGCCCGGCCCCTGGTTATTGCATAGCTCACTGAAGGTGTTAAACACTGAGACAACTACAGCAGCTCCACTCCCATCTCCCCTGTTTTTACCATTATTACATATAGCACAAGAGCTTTAACGCATTTTTAATGTGATAGCATCCTCCCCCTCTTGCTTTCCTTTTTCCTCCCACCTCCTCTACAAATCTTCTGTGGGAAAGCTACCCTGTTTTACTATTGCTGTTGCTGAGATGTTGCAATTATTATCTGTAATTGTTTCAAAAAAAGCCAAACAAAAAAAAAAACAACAACGCCAAAACACACACTAGGACAAATCTGGCTCTCTTTGCCAACAACATCTGCTATCACAGAATGGATATATTTAATTTAAAACCTGCCCAATGTCTTTGTACATGACAGAACACTGACTGCAGGACAGGGAGAGGCCTAAACCCAGAATGTGCAGTCACATGGTACACAAGGTAGATGATGTTAAGCCTTATACACCACACGAGCAGTCTTGGTTAAAAGACCACAAATAAATGGGGTAAGGAAGAAAGATATGACATTTTATTTGTCAAGAGTAAAGACCTTGCATTTATTACCTACAATCAGATCTCCCTCTGGCACAACATGTTTATTTTCATACTACTTGCCTAAAACGCTACTCCTGAAATTTTAACTTTACACTCTTTTATTCGAAATCATCGGTCTTTTCAATGGAATATTTTAGGTTTCTGCAACATTATGCTGCAATATTTTCTTTTTCTGGAGGAGGCGGTGGGTGAGCCCCGCCGAACAGCCCGCCTCCCCTCCCCCACCGCACACATCCACATCCACACTCCAAGGCTCGTGCGTCAGGAAGGGAGAAACGCCGTACGAATCCTCGTGGAGAACAGCAAAGAGGCATGTTAAGGCAACACATAAAGGGCAGTCTTTATTCCGTCTAAACGCCGACTTTGAGGAATTAATATGCGAGCCGAACTTTTAGGGTGTGGCTTGGTGTTTTTGCCCCTTGTTGCGCTGCGCAGGATGCCTGCCCGAGAACCCAGCAACATACCATTAAATAGGTCAAGGGTCATTCGCTTTACATCACACCACACCGATATTCGGCCGCGCACCGAACCCATCTATCAGCCCCACCGCCGAGACTGAACACGCACCGCAAAATGGGGACCCTGCCCGGCCCGGTGACAGCGCCGGGGGGAGGGCGCCCGCCCGCCCCGCCGCACCGGGGCTGTGCTCGCCGGCCGGGGCGGTGTGCTTGGCGGGCCGGGACGTGCAACAGGTCGGCGGCCCCGCAGCTCCGGCCCCGAGGGGCTGCCCCGCACCCCAGCCCCGGCGGCGGCCGCGGCGCTGGCAGCGGGGCCGGGGGCAGCGCGGCCGCGGGGGGCTGGGCCCGGGGCGGGGGGCGAGGAGCGAACTTGTTTACCTACTTGGAAGTAAACTTCGATGTAGGGGAGCGACCGGCCCCTCCGCCCGCTGCTGATTCAAGCCCTGGCGATGAATGGGATCCCCTCCCCCACCCAGGCTCTGCAAACTCCACACTGGAGCGTGAATACCTCGCATTTCTCTCCCCCCCTCCCCGAGCATTTTTTTTTTTTTAATAAACCCCCCATACATTAAAATACTGTCTCAGAAGTAGGGAGAAACTGCCTCCCTCCCCTCCCCCACGCCCCGGGGTCGCTTGTCCGGGGGCAGCTGCAAAACACCCGCCACGGGTACGGCAGCCCCACGCACACACATCACCTCGGCCCAAAGAAAACACCCCCAAAACCCCCAAAGAGAACCCAAAACGTCCGGGTTCAAAAAACTTCGTCATAACCAGCGGCGGTTGAGCGACCCCCTCCCCCCCGGGCGGGTCAGGCTGCAGAGGGGACGCCGGGGGGCAGCGGGCCCCGGGCTGGGCTGGGCTCGGGGGGCTGCGCCGGGAAGGACAAGCGCAAGAAAAGGGGGAAATTAAAAAAAAAAAAAAAAAGACGGGGGAAAAAGAAACCACACCAGGGTCCCCGGGATGAATAATCCGCCTCGGGAACTCACCTCGCGGCGCAGCGGGCGTTAAAGGCACAGCTCCCGCTCCCGCGGGCGGGGAGAGCCCCAACTTCTGCGGGGGGCGGCGGCGCTGCTGCTGGCGGAGACTTTCCCTCACTTGCCGCGCATGGTGCAACTCCTCTTCCCCCGGGGTCCCGGCCAGCCTGCCAGGAGGCTGCGAATCCCCCCTCGCCGCCGCCGCACACGCCTCCTCCCCCCCCTCCGCGCGCACGGGCGGCACAAGGAAGTCCCGGAGAGTGGGATGGGGGAAACGGAAAGTTTTGGGGCGGAATGGCGGTGAGGGGGGGCTGGCGGGGCCGGTGCGGACGCGCGGCGGCGGCGGGAGCAGCGCCGAGGGGGAGCCACAGGCGGGGGAGGGGGCGCACCGGGAGGGCCGGGGCGGCTGGGGGGCGAACCGGCCGCGCCCTCCCCCACCTGCGTCGGTCCCGCACGCCGGGACGCGCAGCTCGAGGAGGCGCCGCCGCCAACGCCCCCGGGGATGCCCCGGGGTGCCGCCAGCCCTCGCCCCGCCTGTGGTTGTGTTGTGCTTTGACACCCCCCCCGCAACTGAAACCCGGTGACAAACCAGGCACACACACGGAGGGCAGCCCTGCTCTCCCCTCCCCCTCCCGCCGAGCAGCGCCTCGTTCCCTGGCCGGCCCGGCGCGCGGGGAGCGCGGTGCCCGCGGCCGCCCTCTGTCCCCCGCACGCTCGGCTCCGCGCCGGCCCGGCCGCTCGTCCCGCGCAGTGGCGCGGACGGACTGCCCGGGCGGCGCTGCGGGAGCGACCCCCGCGCCGCCCCCGCTGCTCCGGTCCGGGGCCGGCGGCGGTGCCCAGTCAGCGCCCCGGGGCGCGGGGGCCGGGCGGGCTGTGAATCAGCACAAACGAGCTTTAGCGCATCTCACTGGGCGCGACACCCGCGGGCGGCAGCGCTGCGACTCCTTAGCCTCCAGCGCGCCCGTCCCACGCGTGTCCCCGTGTCCCGCCCGTGTCCCCCCCACCCCCGGGCGGATGATGCAACGCGGCTCCATGTGCTTCCCCTCCCCCGCCCGGCTCCCGTTTTTTTGCGCCTGGCGGGTCATCCGGCGGCTGATTGATTCTCCTTTCGCGCTGCGCCGTCACCCGGCGCTGGAAAGTAAATAACAAGTTGACATCATTACCGCGCTCCGCAGGGCCCCGCGCGCCGCTACCGCACCGCTGCGAGTAGCTGCGCACACCAATCCGCGCCCGGCCCGGCCCGGCCCCGGCCCCGCCCGGCCGCCGCCGCACCCCCGGCACCACCGGCAGCGGCCCGAACGCTCGCCCGGGGCCGCCTGGATGCTTTTGGCGGTCTTCTTCCGCCTTCCCCTCCCCCACCCCTCCCCACCCCCCGGCCTCATGGCTAATGTCATGCAAATAATAAGATTATCGGGATGTTGCCGGGGTGTCTGCCTCGGTGGGCTCATCACGGTGACAGCCAGACTCAGGCGGCCACAAAAGTCATATTTATTATTGGAGGTTTTTTCCATATGACTTTTCCACTCTTTTTTTCTCTTTTGGTCTTATTTTGACATTAAAGGGAATTTCATGCTCGTTATACATTTAGCCCAAAGCCTACAAATGTGCTGTCACCCAGTATCCTGATGGAAAAATATGACATCACTCAAGTCAGGACAATAAAGATCATTGCTACATGCATTCATATCTGTGTTGAAAGCAGAACTCTCGAAACACTGGGAAATGTTGTGGGCTGATGTGATTCATTTTCATATTCAGAGCCTCGAGACTGCAGTGCAAGGCCATCTGCGCTCAGACAGACAGGCAGACACGTGTCTCCCTTTCCAAGTAAGCTCCCATTCGCCTTATTTTTCTCCAAATGCAAAACCTACATTACGTTTTTATTACTCGGCAATGTAAACAAACAAAAAACACCCTCCAGATTCATAGCGAGATGGGCCAAAATTTTTAGCTCCTGTGCTTTTTTGTTTGCTTGCTTGCTTTTGAAGTGCTGTGGGCTTACAATGAGGTAAACTCATCAGAAATGGTCCTTAGTCAAGACTTGCAGAGCTTCCAAGGCGCGGTCGCCCAGCAAGGAAGCTGAGACTCGCTCCTCGTGCGCTCCGGGGAGCTGTGCCATGTCCTCGTGCCCACGCCAAGGAGGTGGCTCGGCACGGCCAGGAGGGCTGCGCGGTGAGGGCAGCGGGAGGCCGGCATGCCCGGAGCCGCAGGCTGGGGCGAGGGCAGCGCTGCAGGTCTGTGCTGGCAGCCTTCCCGGCCCTGTGCGGAGGCGCAGCACACGCTCATCCTGCGCTGCCTGCCCATGGACCTACCGCAGTGTAGCAACCTCCAGCCGAGACACCACCGTGTCCCGGCCGGGCCCTCGGACAGCTGTCCCAGCCTGGCCAGGCCTGGCCACACGCTCTGCTGAGCGGCCAGGGAGATGGAGGCAGGCAAGGAAAGCTTGGTGGGCAACCGACAGCGTTGTGATGGCGAGGGAATTAAATTTGCAGCGTCACAGGGATACAAGGAAATGCCTTTTTTCTCTTTTCTAGCTGGGCACAGCCGCCGCTGCCTGTGTGTGGCGGGGTTTCAGGCAGTCCTGCAGGGAGCAGACAGGCCGGGAGGCCGCACCGCCTGCCCCTCGCTTCCCGGGCCGCTGCTGGGGACAGCCCGGAGCCCTGGATTGGCAGCCGGCAGCCAGACCCGGGGAATGGGGATAAATGTCGACGTAATCCTTGCCGAGAGCTTCAAATGAAGGCTATCAAGGAAGGCACTTCCTTCAGGCTGTGCTTGGCTAAGAGGAGGTGCACAGATCCATGATAAAGACTTGGGTTTTTTCCAGGTAAAACGGAAAAAAAAAAATAAATCCCCAACTATAAAGTGATGGTAGAGTAAAGGATAAAACAGTGAATCACTACTCTGGCCATTGCAATAATTTTGGCCTTTGTGTAAGGGAAGACCCCCAAGTGACCATGTGTAAAGAAATCACCATTTTTTAAAAAGCCTTGTTTTTTCAGTTTCCTAACGCGTGACGCTGTGACGGTGATCAGCAGCAGTGCCACAGCCCTGCAGCTCCAAATGAAGGGAGCCAGAGCTGAGGTTTCTTACCCTCATTAAAATGGAAACCCTAACCTGAAACAATCAAAGTCAAGGGCCAGCAGGGTTGGCCTGCTGGGGAGATAATGGGATCATAAGGCAAAATATTTTGTATTTTACGAGATGAAACCCATTGTTATTTTTCTAGTGCTTCATCATCTTGTATTGCATTGGTAACTGTTTCTATGTTTTCCCCTCATCCCATGTTTTCCATTTTGTAAATAAAAGTAAGTTCTCTTGAAAAGGTGAATAATTACAACATAAATAATTGCTTCTTCTGTTACATTACTTCAGTTAAATAATTCTTGCAAAAAAAAAAAAAACAAAAAAAAACCAAAAAAAACCAAAAAAACAAACTCCTGAAATAAAAAAAAAAAAAAACAAAAAAAAAAAACAAAAAACTCCTGAAATGCAGATTAATTATTTGCTTCTGTTATGGACTGGAAAAAAAAAAGTATCTGCTAATTTAAGTTTTTAAGACAAATTCCTATGCAAACTTTAGGTACAGTAGTGAAAACTGAACTTGAATAGATATCCCCACACTACTGAGACAGAGGGGCACTATGCCATTCTCACATTGCAGGAGGAAGATATTCTATACATGGAAATGTGACATGGTAGGCCCTTGCTCTGTCACACTTACAAATATGTTAAACCCAAGCTTTCCTATTATGAGGTGTCCTGCCAAACTATCGGTGGAGGGAAAGTAAAGACTTTTAGCACCTTATTATCACTATTAGCACTTCTGTAGCAGCAAGCTTTGACTTCTATTTTGTGAGCATCTTTACAATATTTGATATTCTTCAGGTAAATGTTCTGATGGAGTCACTCATGTGAGCAACTGCTTCGCAGCACCAAGAAATGGTTTCTCATTTAGCCACTTGTTAATACCAAGAGTTTCAATTTTAGAAGGAAATTCTGATTGACTAAGATATTTTCAGGAATTGAGACCATCACTGTTTGGTTTTTTTCCTTCACTTTTTACTTTATTGATATATTTGGATTGGACTGAAAAATCATGACCACTTGTGAAAGTAGACCTCTTGTGTAAAATGATATTATCAGAAATAAAAAAGTAAAGTGGAAGACCTTGTTTCAGAGTTTCTGGAAGGTAAAACTGTCAAAACTTTTTTGATTTTGCAAAGGAAGCATGGTCTGATCCTTTTTCTATCATATTTCTCTCTATAGATTGATTCATGTGGCCTGTAATACCTGCACTTTCTAGTGATCATTTTTAATCCACCACTGAGATGTGAAGATTAGATGTTTAGATTCCTCAGGCTTTAACAGGAATTCAATCCAATCTAATAACCTCTGAAAAGAATTTTGGTGCTGTTACTCTGTTGCAGAGGTTGCAAAGAGGGATGCACTGTTCATAGCTCCTTCCCCATGCCATTATACAACCAGTGCACATCTGCTGCTCAGGAGCACTGTCTGTTAGGTAGGCATCACACCAAATATGTTTTTGCTTCTTTCTATAAGATAATAAGAACAGATTTGGTGATTCCTTCAAAAATCTACGTAAGTTACAGCAACACTCCTATCTACTATATGGAAGATATTTAGTATGTTAAACACGTACTTGTTATTACTTAAGGTAAAATAAATCAGAAACTTTGATGTATGTAACCTACACTCCTCTGATCTATTTAGTGGGCTGACACGAAGGGCTGAGCTAGCGGTATGGGTCCCTTAGGATCCTCAGATGGAACAGAGATTTTTTATGTTGCTCTAATTTACTCTTAGAGCCAGTTTGGCCTCCTGCCAGTCTGGAATAGAAAGAAGAGAGGGGTGATGATCTCTTTTCTTGTCTTTCCTCATCCATGCAGTGTTGCATGGCCCCAGCTGTGCTGAATTAATGTCTGGGACAGTTTATAATTTCAAACCTTTTTTTCCTGCCATTAAAGATTTTAGAAGGAAAAGCTCCTCTACCTAGGAGCTGGCTGCAAGAGAGTGAAACACCTAGAGAGTGAACAGGATCAGTTCTCCTGCAGAGAAGCCAGACTCAGCAGGAGGCTGTGCTATGGATGTGAGAGGTGCTAACTATGCATCATCATCCCTAGCTGTTCAGGGTTTCTGGGGGTGTATGAGTGTTGTGAAAGTGCTGTCAGACGTCTCCCCTGGTCCTGTGAGGATTATCTGACCCTCTGAGGCCAGCAGCAGGAGCAGCTCTGCTCACACAGTTCTCAAAGTGACTAAAGTGAGGTGGGAACCAGGAGTCTACCCTTGGGAAGGCCTAATCTTCCTGAAGAATTCTTGTTAATACTGGTCTTTGGTCCCCAGGGGGGACTTTATTAGGACAAGCCCCAGGGGAGAGGGAGAGCCCAATCCCTCTCATGAGGAGTGTGCATGCAGAGGAGCAAACAAACAAGGCACAGACCTGTCTGTGGGCAGTGGACAGGATGAAACAGGGATGTAAGGACCAAGTGTCTGCATTGCACCAGCATCAGCATCTGGGTGCCTCCTGGGGCTGTCCAGGCAGAGGCTGGTCCTGCAGGCTGCCTGACAGGAGCACCTTGGACATGCTCTCCAGGTGCACTGGTTGCGTTGGTTTCACCCAA